CTTTTAATATACAGGCATACTGCCGTAGCTAGTACCAATTCTTCGTCCATCGCAAACACCACGCACTTCACAGAGGGACAACAAACCGCGACTGGCGTGACGCGACCGTGAATGTAGTACCTCTTTGGACGACATCCGTTTGGACGTCATCCATTCGGATGTCATCCATCTGGAGCAATCGTGAATGGCGGCCTTAAGAGATAAAAATACTTAACCCTGTTAATAAGTGGTGTGTATGGACAATTTTTCCACTAAAAATGTGAACAGCATACATTTCAACATTAAAGGATGTAATATGTTAACATATGTATCTAATTTTGGTTCAATCTGCATATTATCCCATTAAAATTATAATTAATTCATGACTAGGTGATGTTTGGAATGTTTTCCCTGTTTGCGGGTAAATTATGTTTACACTGAAAAATTTCATTCTCAAGCTATTTCTACAATGGCAGCTAACTAGAATGAATACAAGTTTAAAGATGGTTTTTTTTTGGGTTGTTGTACTGTGTAAACTGGTTGAAGTTTACCAATATTTCAGAGGTGCTTGGTGCCTCCATCCTCAGCGTGACAACTACATGGTGCAACAACCCAGAAGTCACCATTTTCATACTCACTACCATGAGAACCTGAAATCTCATGGACAAGTCTGTTCTACGTTACAGTATAAGACTGTAATCTTGAGACTTGCAAGGTGAGGAAGTGGAGTGAAGGTGGAAGGAGGAAAGATAGCGTCAGCCTTAAACGATTCGGACTTCCTGCATTTCTTGCAAGTCTCAAGATTACAGTCGCTTACTATACTTCCTTTACTATAGATGCAGTAAGTTCAGATGCCTTACATCAATGTTTAAAGTCCAGCTGAAGCTGAAGCACACATATTGGTTCATTCTTCTCTTAATGAGTAATTTATTCTACAAATTTGTGTACTCCAGACAAAACAGCAACACTTTAAATACTGTTCAGGAATAAATGTAAATGTTTTCTACCTCCTCAGCGCACACGTACCAGTGCAGGAACAGTTGAATTACATTTATCTTACTTTTGATCGACAAACAAGTTTAAAAACACATGCATCTGAACAGAAGATAAATGTTAGGAACAATTCTTGATATCACCTCAAAGCTTTCTTGGTCCCTATATACGTGTTCCTTCCTATGACCTTCAAGGAAGGGACATTTAAATAGGAGCTTTAGTTACAATTTGGAAGAGAACTACACTTACCCATCACCATCATTACCACCACCACCAGTCAATTCATCTATCAAACAGCTGACAGAGTCGGTTGAGGCAAGAGAGAGAAAGAGAAATAAGACACAGTACGTACATCCAACAGTGGTCGAGGTAGGGTAAGGTTGGCAATTCAAATGAAGGTTCACGAAGGTAGACAGATATAAAAACACAGCATGTAGCAACATTTAGAGGTTTAAGTACAATCATGTGGAGAGAAGACAGACTAAGCATTATGTAAGAAGAAAATACGTAGGTTAGAAAAAGGGGTACGTAGAGAAATACAGCTAATTCTTGTACAATCTTCTAATAATGTAATTCTGAATTTACTAGAGCTATGCCACTAGTACTCATGCATGATACAGCAAAGAATGACTAAATATGTAGCTTTCGTTTTATGTAGCGGACTGACTAGCATAATACAAGTGAATGAGTAAATGAATTAATGATGTCTGTTGTCACAAATTACAGATGATGGGGAATAATTCAGTCATCCCATGCCTGGATATCCTGCATTTCATCCAATTATTTATCTTAAAGGACAAATTCTATCTCTCTCGAACCATTTCAGTGCTTTATTTTCTAGTGGTATATATGAGTATGACTGTACGTCTTCTTAAATTTCAAATTAACTTAATTACTCTTCTTTCATCCCTCATGCATCCTGTCACTTAATATTTTTCAATGCCCATTTTATAACAAGTTAGTACTTCATGGTGGGGAGTTGTTAGCCCGAGTAGAAGACTGGGGGAAAATTATGAATGCACATGATATGGAAACCATTCTATGTTGGGAAATTCGTGGTCAATTAATCTTAATTCTTAGTAGTGCAGGGAATTCTCATGTATATTTCCTAAATAATTTAGCTCTATATGTGTTGGGAAAGAAATAACAAAGACTTGGACAATCGGGATCCCCTGTATCAATGCATCTCCAGCTGTGGTACAATTTTAATTTGCAAGTTCTGTTTGAAATTACTTCCTGAACTTCTATAGTCAACAAGCCTTCATATTCCCAATTCACATTATTTAGAAAAGTGTTGTGTACTGTCTAACAATACAGAGCATATTTCATGAAATCAGTGCAAGCACCTAAGTCAACGAGAAAGCTAAATTCTTTAGACATTCTTCATCAGTTTCAATAAAGACAAACTCTAATTGATTATCAACTACACATTGTTTTTAAGTATCCAAATTTTCTAAAATACCCACTAATCTGCACATATATCTGAACTCTTCCATATTTTCTGGATAAATATGAGTATGAAGGGTATGAAAAGAGGAGTATTTGAAAGTAACGAGGAAGTATATCTAAAGGATAAATCACAAATTAAAAACTAAAAACACTTCACCACTGCTTAGAATTACACCCTACCTGAGACTTGGCATGCTTTTCCCTTTAACAAGATTACTTGAATGTTTTGCTTTATCTAGGTCAGATTTAGGTTCAAAGATCTTCGCAAATGCAGAACAAGGGCGGGACAGATGCTCGTCCCCCGTGTCCAGGCTGCGGTGGTAGTCCTGCAAGCAATATCGGGGCATGTGTCACTCCATGCAGTAAAATTTTACTTGGGGGGAAACTGGCAGTCAAACTGTATCAAGAAATTCCCTGCCTTTAATAAACCCTAAAAGATCATTATTGTGAGACTGCAAGTTCTCACGGCAGCAAGAACGAGATGACTATCTTCTGGGATGTGGTTCCATGCAGTCTGGTACAAGTTCAGTGATGTTTCAGAAGTATCTGCTGCTACTATCTTCTGGGATGTGGTTCCATGCAAGTTCAGTGATGTTTCAGAAGTGCCTGCTGCCTCCATCATCAGAACAATAAGTAAGCAATTAACTATGAACTGGTTTGAGATGTGGGAAGCAGGCGGTCAAGGTAGAACGTTTGTCAGACCAGTGGGGAGGTGGTGACAACTTGGTGAGAGCAAGGGAGCCAACTGGAGATTAGAAAATTTAAATTACATAATTTCAGATCTGACGAATGTGTCAGCTTAGTTCCTTACTAATTATTCATCAAACAAAAACTAACTGTAAAACCCCTACTTAATTTTCTGTTGTGTGTACTGCTGAACTGTCCTACTGAAAATGTGCAACTCCTGCTCTCTTCACTGAATACTTCAAACTAATCTTCCAAAAATTGTTCACATTTCAATCTCACCTAACCGTGTCACAAAAATATATGGGACCTATTTCTTGTAACTAGATCTGAAAATAATATGAGGGCTTCCAGATATTCCAAAAATTTCTTAACCACCTACAAGACTACACATTATCCAAACCCATGAGACCACAAGCCAAATTTTCACACCTGTGAAAATCTCAGATTTGAATGATGTGTGTTCTGTGAGATTATACAACCACTTAAATTAAACCATGCTTCATCATAAAAAGAAGGTGGATATTTCTAGGAAGTCACATGCACAGATAATTCTCAAGTGTACAATTCATAAGACTTTTTCTTATGATGAAATTCTCAACAAGAAACATGCCTTGTTCAAAAGCTTGTCACTACATGTTTGGAGACAAATAAAACAAACAGCCGACTGACTGCTCACAACAAGTGATTTTTCTATGGTATTATGCCAGGAGAGTTTCTGCCAACCTGTCACTTACTCCCTGAACAAACCATAGTATAACAATAAAAGTCTCGACAAAGAATTTGCAAGTGCACTCCACAGGACAATACTTCGATGCTGAAGTTCTCTGCCACAAAATACACTGCATTAACATGCTGAATGGTCTATGAGATTAACAGAGAGTTATAAATAAACACATTCCATGCTATTCTCAATACAAAAGAAATATTTGACAATACCTGTCCATAAAATACTTTTGGTTCATCACGACCAATTTTCTCCAGAGTTTTTTCTGATATTGAGAGAAGTTTGGTTTCAACAAATGCTTTAAGATCAGCCATTTTCATTCTCTTTTTCACTTTTTCACTGGCACGCCTTACGTGGCTACCTTGATCATCCGGTTGCTTCTGCCCAAAGTAAGGAGATTCTGAGAGAGAAACAATTGTTATTAATATTTTATTGTTACTAAAGTATGCTGATGTACATAAAATATCACCACACTATAACTGCATTCATTCTTACCACCTTTACTCTGATACTGTTTATAATTTTCAAATATGCTTTTCTTTTATTTTCTTATAAAAAACAGTATAAACGTTTCAAGTTACAATTTATTCATGTTTTTTGTAAAATTAACTCCAAAGCATTAGTAAATTGAGAATATCACAGTCCTCTGTGAGTCACGTCTTACCAGTAAGGTATGATACATCTTTAACTTCAGGCACTTCCATGAAATCTTTGGATTCTTGTTTCATTAGTTCTGGACTTTGGTATAAGGAAACTTCAATCTTTGGAATGGGCAGAGAATTGCTACGTTTTCTGGGCTGTTGCTGAGATGAAGCATAATCACTGATCTCATGCAACCTGAAAATAGACACAGCATAATCATTTGTAATATTTCTTACCTAAACTCTTATAAAAATCAAAATCACATCCACAATAAAATGGAAAGCAGAGTAAATCTGGATAATGCTTGCTATCATTAAATTCAGAATATTCCATTTCAATTATTTGTGGTTTATTTAATGTAAGTCAAAATAACTCAGACCCTAGAGCATAAGATGATAGGATGATTAATGAATAAAGAGTGAGAAGAATTTGGAAGGAAGCATCCATTCATGTGCACGCGCGCGCATGTGTGTGTACACAGAATACTGGACTATTTATCAGTCAGTTATCGTTAAGTGCACGTGTGTTTACGAAGCATGTGCATCTACATACACCAGCAGATTAATATTACAAAGTACTAGATTATATGCATATCTAATTTTTCACATAATTCTGTTTCAGAAAGGTACCAGGACCACGATATATTTTACTGAAGCGTTTTATTTAGGTGTTTCAATTTATTTTAAATAAATCACGCTTCAAAGCCGATCTAAAATATAATATTTGATTTCTATCAACTTAAGAGTAATACGAGGCTCGTCCTTAAAGTAAGTTTCCCTGGGGCCGTTTACAGAAACAAAACACAATTTCATGGAAATATTTATTGCAACAGATACAGCAAGTGTCCAGCTATTTTTCAACATATTCGCCACCGGAATTGAGACATTTGTCATACCGTGGGACCAACTTTTGAATACCTGTGTCGTAGAAGTCTGCCGCCTGGGATTGGAACCACTGTGTGACAACCATCTCCGCCTCTCTTTCATTCTCAAAACGCTGACGCTGACGCTGACCGGACAGGAATTTCTTGAGGTGTAGGAAAAGATGGAAATCACTGGGAGCGAGGTCCGGGCTGTAGGGTGAATGATTAAACACCTCCCAGCTGAACTCCTGCAGGAGACTCGCTGTCCGTTGAGCCGTGTGCGGCCTAGCGTTATCACTGACCGCACTTCACAGTCGGCGGGAGCTGGAATAAGAACCTCCCTCTTCAACAGCTGCAACGATGCTACTGTGAGAACGCGGGAAGTGCCGTTAGTGCATGCGCCATGCTACGTCATTGCTCTATCACGTACGCACAGTCGCTTCGCGCAATATAAGGTTTGCTAGCTGTGGGACGAGTGGGAAACGTACTTTGTGGACGCGCCTCGTATTAAATATACTTCAGACAGCTGTGGAAAAATGAAGCACTTACCTGTGATAATAAAACTGAAGAGCCCAATACACACCTTCCTCCTGCCACTCGGGAATAAAAAGGCATCGTAAAACAGCCACATCCAGAAATGTAGCTGAACAGATATCTACAGGACTTGAACCAGTCCCTTGACCATTTTCTTGTGTTTTAACAGCACCAATTGGTTCTTGCTGTTTGTTACTTCCTATGGAGTCCTTATCTGTAGAAGACCTGACATAAATGACACATATTTTTAATATAACATTATGTCATAGAAAGTAATCATGGTAAGTCAGTTTCCATGTGAAATGGGTCTATTCTCACCATAACATGGCATACTCTCAGGTCGTGAAGGTTAGCTACAAATATATTGAACAATCAGTCCCAAACCGATGAAAAGGGGTGGTCTTGGACATTGGATGACGAGCCAACAACCCGTCACTACACAAAACCAACATGTTACTAAATACTACACAGCACATCAGGCTTTGGTGGATTTTTGAAATGGCCTAAGCAAGCATAAAAGGAATTTATGATTTACATCCATCATCAAATACTATTAAGGTGATGAAATCAAGACGGATGAGAATGGCAAGGCATGTAGCATGCATGGGATAAATTAGAATTTAATACGAAATATCAGTCAATGTACCGACTAGATAATAGGCTGGATGACCAGGATTAAATTCCTGTGGGGCAGAACGTCTTCATTGCCTAATCATCCAGACAAGCTTTCTGTGTCCATCGAATGTTATATCTAAAGGTGGCGACTGACTTGTAACATTTGCCTGTAATGTAACGTGTTACAAATCGAGCATTACGCAAGTGAAGACAGCGAACGGAGCCGCTCGATGCGAGCTGCTCACGCTCGCGGGCGCTCCATCGTGTTGTCGGTTTTTTCGCGAATCCCTTTGAGTGTTACATTACAAGTCAGTCAGTCAGTCGAGCGGCGTCGTAACGAGCATTCACGAGTTCTTTAGATAAGAGTAGCGTATTAAATGAAACAAAGATAACACAACCTCCACGTCCGACATATTGAA